GAATCACAAGTGGTCGGCCCACAATTTCTCCTTTTGTTTGTTTGATCATTTTCCACCCAAACCAATCTATCAACATTATTGAAAATTAAAAATAAATAAGTGCACTATACTTTTGCTATCAATAATCAATATACTTATTGCTTACATAGAGAGTTCAATAAGAATAAGACTTGAGTAGTCAACAATCCTAAGTTAAAAAACACACAAACATCAAGTTGTCAAGCAGAACAATAATATAGCGTGGATGCACCAAATGTCATAATAAGATTTAATTAAGTTCTTCGTAATCTTGGGTAATTCTAAAATTTCACCCAACTCCTTTTGTTTCCCTACTTTCTAGTTCTTACCTCTGAGTAGTATGTTGATGATCAGGCTTCGGGGAGCATATCTCTTGAGTCGTCCTTAGACAGTCGCTGCTCGAGCACGAGGGGGGCAGAGCAAAATCACTAGTGGGTCCACTGGATTCGCTCAAACTGTTGTGTTCGACGCTTTCTAGAGCCATCTTCTTGAATTTCTTCAGGTCCTCTTTGTACTGAACGTTATCATAAGTGGCTTCAAAACCTGAGCTGCCGTGAGGATCATATATTGCGCTTTGTCCTGGTCGAATACCATCATTTAAGTCGTCCAGGGATATTTTTCCTTCTAAACCTCGAACTATCTGCATCACATATTTTGTGACGTAAGAGTTGGTAAATGAGTCCTCTTTGAGTTATTTTTTTCAAATGTTAAAAGTAACTCATTTTTACTTTAGCTTGGCCAAACAAGCTTACGAGATGCTAAGCAAATATAAGCAGACGTACCTGATTCATTCGTGGCCTCCGCCGAGCCAAATGGCGAATACATACAGAAGCACAGGCAACCATTCGAGCCATCTCAGTGGAGTCATAATCATTCTCCAGAGTTGGATCAGCTAGAGTCTCAAAGTTGCCGGTATCCAGAGCTTGTGTAAGCAACGGCCTAGCCTACATTAATGAAAAATTAAGTTACCTTTCCGAAGTAACTGAACAATACCGAAGTGTACCCAACCAAATGAAGAAAGACATTTCTTTCGGTAAAAAGAAGATGGAATAAGATAAAAAGCACAATAGTACGGGGTAGGCCAGGAACATCCAAAGACAGATGTCTTTTTTTTTTTTT